TCAAATGTGGTGTAATTCCAGCCAATAATCTCCACATACGCACAATGTGTAAGATCATCGCAAGAATTTAGTTAACGATAAGAGTGTGCTTAATGTAAGTGCTCTTAGGTTCTAAGTTGCTGAGCCCTTGAAATTGTTAACAATTCGTTGCAAATGCTCCACATCAATTACTTTAGAATAATAAAATTTACAAGCTAAAATTGTATGGTGCTGGAATTGAAATACAATGGCACACTTTCCTTGAATTTGTTCTAGTTCAGCTAAGATAATGGTTTTTTTCCTAATATAGATTCAACCTGATGGGTTCGCTATGTTCAGTCGTTACTTGAATGCAACCAAACGACCAATGGTATTTGGCTGCAGTTACCCTGCCTACTCACACTGGTACGACGGTGAAAAACTTAACTGGACTCAGCTGATCGATAATTGCAATCTTTGGAGAATGTTTGAAGATGTTCAAGATTCGTTTAGTTCTGTTCTATCAATAATGCGACAGTACGAGGCTCATAGGAGGACTCTGATCCCAGCTGCTGGTCCCGGTCATTGGAATGACCTTGATATGCTATTGGGTGGGAACTTCGGACTCTCATGGGATGAGACACGTGTGCAAATGGGAATCTGGGCTATGCATGCAGTCCCTTTGATCATTTCTGTCGACCTTGAAGACATTAAACAAGAAATGAAGGAGGTTAACTCGATTTTATTGCTAATTTTCAAGGATTTACTGTTCAAGAAATATCAAAAATACCTTTTTGTTTCCAGATTCTCCAAGCACCTTTAGTAATACGCGTCAATCAAGACAAACTCGGGAAACCAGCTGATTTGATAATTCCAGAACCAGGCATTAAGGTATATTTTAATAGTTTCTTTCCTGTAGTCCCGCATTGAACGTCAAAGTGAGATGGAAATTATAAGGTTTATTTGAGATTATTAAAAGAGCAAATGTGAGCTCAATGTGAGAAGTGCAGGTGACTGATTCAACGAACATGGAGCTAATGATAAATATCACAAAGAATGCCATTTGAAATAATAAGTTTGAGAATTAATCATTTCATGCACTTAAATAAGCCAAAAGTGTTCTTCAATCTGATCCAAATAATTAACGAGTTTCCAAATTAGCGGGTTCACTTGTCTGTTTGAGGGGGTTGAATAAGTAATCTTCATCTTTCTTCCTAGGTGTGGGTTCGTCAACTATCGGATTTCAACGGCGGTTGGGCGTTGGCCTACCTGAATCTTAACGATGGCGCAGGCTACCCTGTTCAAGTTGTTAACAGTTTGAAGGAACTTGGAGTTAAAGCCGATGGCAATAAAGGCACTTCTTTCAAGTTGATCGACGCTTTTACGGGAAATGAGAAGCTTACAACTGACTTGTCCACACCGTTTGAAGTTCGTGTTAATCCCAGTGGAATTGTGATGCTAATTGCACAGCCCCTGGGTCATAACTTAAACCACGTGATCGAATTCTAAAGCAATTTTGTTGTCTAAGATTTTCGATTTCTGTTATAATAATAAATTCTTATTATCTGTTTATTTAATAAAAGGTTTTTTGCAAATTTTGTATGATATTTTTAGGACTCGGTATACCATACTTGCCACTTAATTGCACACCCAAATAATTGCTTTTCTATTGGCAAGCATTGGCACCGATTTAGATGGTGATCCTAAATTTATGTTCTTTCCAACTTCTGAAATTCAGTAGATTTAAAAAGTAGCAAAATCAGGTATCAATTTCAACGTTATGATAGTATGTCTACAGAGTCAATTAAAAATAACCCGAAAGCAAAATCAGAGTGTTTCTGTCAATAAGTCCTAGACAGCTCAAAATCACTTATCTGTTTGGGATGAAGCAACTTAACTTAAAACATCAACTAAATTTATCGAATTTCTAATTTGTCACTTAAATCACTGGAAGTGCTCTCGATTCCTAAACGTGGGGTTTGTACTTCATCAAAGCTGCCAATGTGCATCCACTCTGTCGTAAAGTCTCACTGACTTTAAGTTAATTTTCGAGGGGTGTGGGATAGACTTACCTCCACGTGGTGCACCCTGGACAACGTATACTCATACGGCAAAAAAGTCTATTAACTGGCAGTTGACCTCTGACTTCAAACTACCACCCCCCCCCACTCTATGCCATATTCGACTATTTCACCGTACTCACCTCACCTTTTTTCTACCTTTGTGTTTGTCTCTTTTACATCTTTGAAGCACTCCTCTGTTCCCCCCCCCCCTCTTGACTTTTTTTCCACTTTGATGTTCCTTCCCCTCTGTGAAGCCTGAAGTCAACTAAAGGGCTAATGATAACCATTTGATATAAATAAAAATAAATATCCTAACGGCTAATTTCTCAATGCTGGAAGAGTTTGAAAACTAATCACAATGTTCAGGCAAGGCCACTGATTTGAAACAATTTGAAGTGAGGATCATAGTAGTAGTTAAAATGGGTTAAGAGAGCAGTGGCTGGTTGGCAATTCTTCAGTTTAAAATGTCTGCTGGAAAGGACATCGCCTCAATGACCTTGGGACAATCGATAACACTACCCATTTTTGGTAAAAAGAACGGCACTCACAGAAGCCCGACGCTTTATCGGTGACAGAATGCTTCATTTACTTTAGCACAAGGGTTCAAGCAAATGTACAGTTAAATGAGTAGATTTAAATTGTAAAATCGAACTATGTATCATTGCTAAAATTCCGAATTGGCAAGTAATCAAATTGGCGCAAGTGGAAGTGCTTAGTGGGGTGACACCCAAGCAGAAAAGGTAGTAAGCAAGTCTCTGATAAAATAAGCCTATTCTTGATGAGTCACCATCAAACATACCTAAAAAGTAAAGTCCTTGGCAATTTATAGGGAAGAACAAATTATCTTCGACCGACACCTGGAATAATAACCTAGAAGCTTAGCTTCTTCGAATGCATAAGTCGTAAACTTCAAGTTTTGGAGGTATGAGGATTAAGAGAGAGATAGGCTGTCGTACCTTTTGGTAGGATGCATTGGTGACCACAAATGTGAAGAAGACGGTATCAGGAGGGCATTGTTCCACCGACCAGGACTCGATGGCAGCACCCCAAGGGAGGCAGAAGTTGGAGAGATTAACAATGTCCACGTTGTTGAAGATAGGCTCATTATTATGAGATGACACATCATCTGTTGAGAAAGGAGGAAAAGGCTTTCATTCCAGGTGTCTGTTTAAACATGCTT